AGGAAGCCCATTCCTTTGTAGTCCTGTCCAGACACCGAAGAAGCAGGATGTGACCTGCCCTGCTGAAAAAGGTACCAAGCAATGGGGCTAACATAGATAAGAATAATAGGTTAATATAAGCTACAAGAGTTGATAAGAAGCCTGAGCTAATGGGTCAATCAGTTTTTAGCTTATGTAGTCCTCTGTGTGATTTTCTTTGGGGCTTACTGGCTTTGGGAACTGGGCAGGACAGAAAGCCCAACAAGCAGACCTCATGTTACAAGAAGCTATTTTTACACGTGTTAATTGAAGCAGATACTTTCTTCTTTAATTAATTATTTAATTTATTTATTAAAACTTTCCACCTCCTCCCTGCCTCCCTTTTCCCTCCCCCTCCCCACCTCCCACTCCTTTTCTAGTCCTAAGAGCAGTCAGGGTTCCCTGCTCCGTGGGAAGTCCAAGGTCCTCCCCCCTCCATCCAGGTCTATAAAGGTGAGCATCCAAACAAACCAGGCTCCCACAAAGTCAGTCCATGCAGTAGAATCAAAACCCAGTGCCATTGTCCTTGGCTTCTCAATTAGCCTTCATTGCCAGCCACATTCAGAATGTCCATTTTGATAACATGCTCCATCATTCCCAGTCCAGCTGGCCTTGGTGAGCTCCCATTAGATCAGTCCCACCGTCTCAGTGGTTGGACGCACCCGTCATGGTCCTGACTTCCTTGCTCATGTTCTCCCTCCTTCTGCTCCTCATTTGGACCTTGGGAGCTAAGTCCGGAAGTAGATACTTTCTAGAGAGTTGAGAAGAGTCAGTTTATTTATATATTACCTTAAGGGAAATGTGGAAATGTATTTACTTTGATCACTACACCTATCCCAGCTCCTAGAATACTGTCTTACTTAGGTTGATAGCAAGAATGTAAACATTGGACCAATGATTCAATGAATGAATACACTAACAAGTATTAATTCATTTATTCTCAGTTGGTATCAATTACAACTAATGGCAAACATTCATACTCACATAGACATAACAGGAACAAGAAAATTCAAACTGCTATCCTTTACCTCCTTAAAACTGAACCACTAATTGAGGCAACTACTTAAACTAAAAAAATAACGAATGTCAAAGTATATTTTGTGTTTGCACTTTTGGTTTTCTAGAAAAGCTAGAGAATCTTTTCATTTAGAAATTGAATAAATTAAATATAGGACTTATTGAGGAAAGTAAAGGAATGGGGCAAAAGAGGATAATTGTGGGGGATAGCAAAAAATGTATTCTGTATATGTGTGAAAATGTTATAATAGGACCAATCATATATAATTAATACACTCTAATGAAAATTAAAGTAAAAATTGAAGCAAAAATATCATGTAAAGAGACTTGATTCTTTTGTGGAAAATTGTTCTCAGTGAATGAAAGAGTTATTGTTATCCTTAGTTCAATAAGGAAGATACTTTGCCTCTTATTTTTAAATGGTAATAAAAGCCATTCAATGCTCTACCCAAGAATCTAGCTTTCATTCATGTAGTAGTATCAGGCAGAATTTCTAAAGTGCAGCCCCTTCTCCTCTCCTCCTTGTGTTGACCAATGAGATTCAGAGAGAAGTCAAGTAAGCTACTTTTATGCCTTGTATTATATGTATAGGAGGGATTGCCTTACTCATTTATCTTTATGAACATTTATGAACGGTGCTGCCAACTAAGCTTTGATCCTGTGATTATAGGCTGGAAGGAGATGATAGCCACCAGAGGCCACCACCAACATATTGCACAGAGTCTTGGAAACTCACAAGAGATAGTGAGAGGAATAGTATCAGAGAGAAGGTTTAGAAAATAGTGATGAACAGAATGGAAACCATATTTAAGATTGCATATTTTAAAAGATAACTACAAAGACAATGGTGAAAAAATATGCTCTCACTGCAAAACACTAGAAATAAAACATTAGACATATCAAGATTAGGATTTGTCTGAGAATAAGCTCTATATAAACATATCCTTCACTTTATAGAGTGAGTCTGTAACCAGAGACAAGTTCCTTCCTGTGTTGCTAGGTACGGAATATAGATACCTGAAAAGATGGCAGAGTAAGATACTGAAATAATTGACTTCAAGAATGAACCACCTTTTTTTAATACCTCAAAACATCTTCTGGGATTTGCTTGAAACATATGAGAATCAATGGTCAACCACACACTTGAAATCTCAGAGGTTCTTTAGTATCAAATCCAAAATGAAAATATTACTCAGACACTACTATGTTGCTTTTCTGTCTGATACTCTAGTCCTTTATTCCACAAAATGGGTATAATATATTTAAATAGTTCTAAGGATTGAGCTAATATGGAGATCAAGCATTTGTATCACAAAGGAAAAGGGTAAATTGTACTGAAGGCAAAAGTGGGGGGAGGGGATATTGGTATCCACCAACTAAGGAATAAAGACGATGTGTTATACAGATACGGTGTAATGCTAACCATGAAAGGGTTGGAAATCCTGTCATTTGTGACAATATGGCTAGAACTAGAAATTACTAGATTAACTGAAGTAAGTCAGGCCCAGAAAGAAATGTACCAAATTATCTCACTCACGTGTGGAAAGTAAAAAGTTTATCTCATAGAAGTTGTGAGCAGAACTCACAGTACAGGGGAGGATAAAGGGGGGAAATTTTGGGTAAGCGCATGAATTCCATTCATACAGGATCAATAACTTGTGCTATACTATTATTTTACAGCTATTTTACTATAATCAACAAGGTATTAAACATTTAAGAATAAGTTAAAGAGAGAACTTTGAATGTTCTTGTCACAAACAAATGATAAATGTTTGAGGAGACAGAATACTTTAAATTAATTTAAACATTGCAAAATTTATTCAAGCGTTAACAGACAACTGATATGCACAATTTTGTACTTCTTGATCAATTAAAATAAATTTAAATTAATAAGCTAAATTTTAGACATTGTTATTCAGGCAGAGCTTAGAAATCCTTTCGTTCTGGATTTATTGATCCATTTGGCGAGGGGAGGGAGGAGGTGTGAAAGTCCTAAGGAAAGGGGAAGAATGAAGTTAGCAGAAGATAAGATGAGGTAGAAGGAATTACTATACAGAAAGCCTGCTGAGCTTGATTTTACCTCCAGCTGCTAACTCTGGGGTAGGTTGACTCCCCCCTTCCCTCCTATAAGATGGAAGTGAACTTTTTCTTATTTTCGGGGGCACATGGCTGGTCTGTACCCACCATGCATCTTATAGAAGTGTCTATTATCAAGAGTGAATCATCATAGAAAAGCATAGTAATTAAAAAAATGGTCTCTCAAGTCATAGTACCTTGAACACAGAGTTCTGTAAATTTAGAAGTGTTACATCTATCTAAGCTCCTGCTCTCCTTCCTATTAAATAAAATTCTCACCACACAGAGTTGTACTGAGATTTAGATGAGATAAGGTAGAGAACAAGCTAATTACAGGGAATGGCATGTAAGAATTACATAAGATATACGAAGGAGGCTGACAATAGCATGAAAGTTCCCATTAAATTATTTATGGTCTGCCTGAAGGAATGAATGTTATTTGTAATAACATTATCTTTGCTAAGAAAAAAGAAAGCGTGGAAGTTATAGTTGAGTACATACTCTTAGTATCTGCTGGTGAGTTCGGCCAGGTATAAAAATGAACAAGTTTCCAAAGATAAAATGTCCTAGCAGCTTTAAATGTTCAGGTATAGGAATGCACAGGAAGGGCAGAGAAACACAATCCTCCAGAAACTACAAAATTCAACTCTTTTGTAATTTGATCCAATAATGTGAAAAAAATGTACTTGATCAATTGTAACTATCATATAAAAATCTGTATAGAGTAGCAACTTCTGTGGTCAAGAAAATGTTTTCGGCTGGGCAGGGGTGGTGTACACCTTTCATCACAGTGTTCAGAAGGCAGAGGCAGGCAGATCTCTGTGAGTTCAAGCCAGCCTGGTCAACAGAGCTATTTCCAGGACAGCTATGGCTATACAGAGACACACTGTCTCTAAAATCTCCCCCTCCAAAAAAGACAGAAGAGGAAAGAAAGTAAGAAAGAAAAAGACAAGAAAGGAAGAAAGGAAGGATGAAAGAAAGAAAGGAAGGAAAAGAAAATGTTTCATGGCTGTAAGTATCATCCAGGATTTCAGCAAGAATTTCATGACAGAATTGTGTATTTATTCTCTGCTTCCTTACTATGCCTAAGCTTTGTGCTATTGTCTAGGCCCAGTGCACCTGAAGGCCTGATTCTACCTATTGCTTTTGTCCTGTGTTCTAATGGGAGTAGGAGTCGACTAATCTTAGAAATGCAGGCAGGTTTTAAGAGGGACCATGTGACTTATTCTAGCTTCTCTTTTCTTGTCTATCATCTTCATATGTTTCTCTCTAGCTATTAAAGCTTGGAAGAACACCTTCACTCTTGCTGGGTTCCAGTGACAGCTCCTCAGGGGTAACAATTAACAGCTTCCTCTCCTGTTGGTTCCCTCAATATTGCCCCTACCTCAGTAAATACACTCCTCATACAATGTCCTTTTATTGAACCTCTGAACTTAGCTTATGCCTGGTTAATCATACTCCTGTGTTCACATGAATAGAACAAAGCCCACTTGTCACCTCTGCCACCACTGCAGTAGCTCACACTACATCATGGTAATAATGGTTATCCTTCATAGGTGCTATTATTACTTTTCTTCTTCCTGGTACATAGTATACCTATATCAATAAACTAATTTGTTTTACATTTTATCTAAATCTTTAGCCTTCCTCTTTGCTGAGGTGGGATTTTATTTCTTAACAGTTGGGGAAATTGGGATTTATATTTGCTGATGTAAAGCCACAAAAATTAGTGACATATAGGAGTCAGCCTTCTAAGTTATTTTGCTGTAAATCTGTTGATTCTTCTCAACGAGTTGTTTAATACCAAAACCCAGTAATAAATGCCCATCCCCAAGGCTGCTATTAATTAAGGCTTTAAAAAATGTTTATTTGACACCATGCTGAGTTACCTTGTACCATACAACATCAGGTTCCTGATCGGACTTCTTAAAGTCTTCCATATCTGGGCAGGAGATCTCCTTTCTTTTAGTAACTTCAGATTTCTCTAAGTAGCGAATCCTGCTATTGTAACAGAGGCCTGATTCATTCTCAGCAACAGTCAAGGACATTGACACCTTCATGCAGTATGTGGAGTTTCTGTAGGAAGAGAGAAAAAAGAACGGGTTTATTGGCTGTTTACAACTTCTGTACTCTATATATTTCAAGAGTATTGACTTTTCCATTTAGAACATGGCCTAAAAATGAGAAACAGCATCAAACCAACACATAGCAACTTTCTTCTTCAACCAAAAGAATGGCGTGGAGCAAAAACGATGTTGAGAACATTCCTGATTATGAGATAGATACAGAGCTATGAAGGTAAGATGTAGCGATCTATGAATCTGTACCATTGTCAGACTTCTCTCCTAGCAATCAATATGGTTTCCTTGAAACTTTGAAAAGAAATCTGCGGGAATTTTGCCAGAACTGTGGTTATAGAAATTTCTATATTTCAGCTCTGTTTTGACATTTCTCCCAGAGATTGTTGAACTTAACAGTGCATTCTACCTCCAACATTTCATCCTCTAAGATACATACAGGAACCAAGATTGACACACAAAGGATACCTGTTAACATATGTAGCATTTCTTTTACTTCCATTTTTATTATCATAAAAAAGATTGTAGTGAATATACTTCTATACACAACTTTATACTTTTTGTCCCAAGGGTAGAATCACTAAATTAACAGAAATATGTATTTCTAGTTGAGTTTGAGATCATCATTATTTATCACAATATAAATTGTTTTTCATGCCCAAGAGTGAATCAGTGGTGACCACAGTTGTCTGGAGTAACAGTATGGACTCCTACATTTGGAGGTATCAGGAAAAAGGGAGCCCCCTTACTTGTTTGAATAGTTGACTATAACTGTTGCCTTAACAGAATCTACACTCACCTAGGAGGACTAACCCCTGAACACGATTTCATGAATTGGTGCTTCCCATGTTCAGGGGAAGTCTTCCTACAAGAATTTCATCCTAAAAACATACATAGGTGTTTAAAGTGCTTCTTGAAATATGCTAGTGGTTGGACATCCTATCCTTAGACAAAGCTATATAGTCAACTAATAGTCATTAGACTATTAAACTGCTAGTCATTAGACTAAGAAAGGAAGAAATAGCTTCCCCTAGGGATGAGATCCTAGTAAGTTACCCAATCCAGCCCTAAAACCATATGCACACAAACAACAAAAATAGATCCAGAGGATTGGATTTATATATTTGTGCATCTATATGATAGTTGGATTTATATATAACGATAATAATAAAAAAATCCCCAAAACTATCAGTTTGAGAGGGAGGGAGGAAATGGGAGGAACTGTAGGAAAGAGATATGGGGGGCTAGAGGGAGGAAAGGGAAAGAGGAGAGTGATAAAATTACATTTTAATTTCAAGTGTATTTAGAATCAATTACAATAAAAATAAAATAAATAATAAATAATATTTTTTTCAAAATAAAATAAATACACAAAAAGAAAGCATGTTATCTATTATAGTGTGGCTAAATGGAGTTAATCCTGCCCACCAACACTATCACTCTAAGGGGATTTAAACACTGAAATTTGTCATCTGGTCACTTTACAAATCACGTGAATTGATGAAGTTATTATGTGAGGCTATCTAGGGCTGAAAATTTTGCTTTCCTGAAAGGTGGGTATAGGTATCGCATAATTTAACAAACAAGGGTTAGTCCTGGCATCAACCTGACATCTCCACATTTACATATGCTTCATGCATACCCACATAAACACACATACACATGCAAAAATGTTCATGTACCCACATTCACACCACATACACAGATACATACATAAATGAAAATAGAAACACAAAGATAAAAATATATTTGATTAATTTTGTTAATTTCAAACAAATGAATAAATATTTTATCTTTGCCTCTTTGTATACATGATGATTCACTATGCAGACCAGAAAATGTCAATCACACAGAGATAAACGACAATGTATGAGAGAAGAGATCAGAAGCAACTTGACAAGGCTGAGAAGGGCAACTGCAAATCGCGGCAGAAGTGTTTAATCTTTCTTTCTGGAGAATATTTCAGGACCACATCTAAATTAACATTAACCCACTGCTAGAAATACCAAGTGTCAAGTGTAGATCTCCAAAGTGAAGTAGCTGTATAATCCTATATCAGATGGAATTAACATGCCAACCACAAATTTGAAGAGGGCCCCAAATGGCTGGCACTATGCCTACTGTTTAGTAGGCATTCATTGAAATCTTACAACATCCCAAACAAACGAAACACAGGAAAGCAGATGGCTGTACACATTAGGTTTACAAATATATGTGATCAAACATTTATATTTATAGCAGACAGAAACCATTAAGTCAAAATGGGAAGCTCAGCTGACTGGGGAGTACTCAACGACATGTGATACACCACCAACATAACCCCTAAACCTAAGGTCCATGGAACATTCTTGAAGAAGGTGTAGGAAGATTAGGAAAATTGTAAGGGCCAGAGGACAAAGATGTCTGCTAGGAGACCATGTCTTCTTAATTTAACAGGAAAGCTGTACCCACAAAATCAGAAAAACATGCTCACCTAAATGAGACACAAGGTTATATATTAACTTGGCTATGGGAAATTTCTCAAGTCCCTGTCTATAGGAAAGTAATGGCTACTGAGAGAAAGAGATTTATTTTTTTCCCTGGGATGAGCTCTCACGTGGATTATCAAATCCCAGGTGGTCAGCCCTAAAAAATGTGCATATAAGCAACAGTAAATACAATCAACAGACATATTCATATGTATGTATGTGTGGGGTGTGAGTGCGTGTGTGAGAGAAAGACAGACAGATAGACAAAGACAAAGAGAATAATTAAAGAAGAGTTCATGAATATGAGAGGAAGTAGAAATGGGTGGTACATAGGTAGAGTTAAAAGATAATGAGGGCTGGGAATGATGTAAAAATATTTTCCATATTAAATTCTCAAAATATTTTTAGATTAAAACTTAGAAGTTGGTTTACATTTCTAAAGTAGAAGGGTAATAATGCATGCCTTTCCAGACAATAGAGTCAAATAAAATATCTAAAATACCCAGCATATTATTTGTTATATATTAGTTATTCAATACATTTTAACTTCAAAACTAGATTTTTAGTATAGGTTACATTGCTATCTATATCACCAATAAATAATAACAAAGATACTATATAACTATCACAAGCAATCACTACTATATTTGCAGTGGGATGAGGTAGGCCACAAGGTCAGGACTGCTACTTGACAGGAAATCATCTGAACGTGGTAATTTGGGGAACAAATCTAATACCAGAGGACCAGGAAAGTTTGAAAGGATCAAAAAGGTACACTGAATTAGATACAAAAAGGAAAATGGACGAAAAGAAACTTCCAGGTACCATAAAATACTAGCTACAAGACAAAGGTCATAACTTTGGAGGTCAGAGGGTTAATGATGGTCCACTAAATTTTCTGGGGGCTGCTTAGACAAATGTTTCCTTTAATAAAACCCAGACCTCCAGGCAAAGATTTTCAGGCACAAGAGATACTCTCATGTGTTCATTCTCCGAAGATTAAATGATTTAGGCCCTGCCAGCAGTACTTGTATTAACTTGGGGTGACCGTAAGGGCAGGGGACTCACCCTGAAGGTGGCTGATGAGTTGCAGGAGGAGAGGATTCAATCCTCCCTAACCCTTAACACACAAACAACCTTAGTCCAGGGCCCTGGATGGACTCCCTCTGGCTCTTGTCACTGCATGTCAATTGAGGCTGACAAATTGCTTGTTAACCCATGAACAAGCCTTAAGATGAAGTTGTTGGTGATACCCAAGATCCTTGGAACTCAAAGACAAGGCCAAGTTTGAGTCCTCTTGTCACCATGGCTGACCTAGTAGAAGTGTGATCAAGGCTCCCTGATAGTCTGAGATTCAAGTTGATTTTTATTAGTCATATAATCCAGCCTGGCACAGTTCCTGCTAACAATCTTGCATTATTTAGATTTTATTTTGAAAAATGCCCTCAGGCCAGTTCTATTTAAAAATTTTCCTGCAAGTGGGGCCTAAAAGTGTTACTTTTCTTTCATTAGGAACAATTAGCGCTATGCAACTTGAGGAGGCAGACTGACTAGTTTGCAAGAATGAGGATCACAATTTTTTTCTCCCCCCCTTCACATCCCAAGGGGGACAAAAAACACATTCTGACTTAATGTAAGGAAAGGGCCTTCACAGTGATATTCCGGCAATGGCTTACACTTACTTGCATCTGTAATCTTTGCAGGTAGAGTTATCTCTCAGTATCCATAAAGGAACTGTTTCAGGATGCTACAACACACATCTAAAGCAAAACCTTTCAGATGTTCAAGCTTATTTTTAATATAAGATGACCTTACATTTGCCTGCACCCTATACACATTTTCTAGGATACTTTAAATTATTTCTAAATGACTTTTACCTAATTAACTGTGGATGCTATATAAATATGTAAATAATATCTATACTATATTGTCTAGGGAATATTGACAAGAAGTCAGCACAAGTTCAGTACAAATGCAATTATTTATTTCTATGAATCTTCGGGTCATGGCTATTTGGATCCATGAATGTAGAACACACAAAACAGAGTAGTTGGCTGTATTTCCACATCTTTTATCATAGTTTCTTCTACCAGGATGTGGGAAAATGAGATGGCAAGGTAAGTATCATTTAAAAGGAATAAAATGCAAATAAGAAAAAGATTTCAAAATATAACTTTGTTAAACATATCTAGCTAGGACCAAGATCTCTTGGTTACTACTCTCAGAAATTGTTACTAACATTGCTTAACAGCCAAACTAACTTGTGGTTAGCCATGTCAACTTGGTAAGCTGAGAGAAAGAGAAGTAGATTCTTGTAGATAATGTACTAAGAATAATTCTACTAACATGTGTCAACCTGTTGCAAGTTTTTGAATAAACATCACAGTTTTCTATACAGAAGTGTAATGGCAGCTACCTTAAATTGTATTTCTTGCTCGTTTTTCCTTTCAAAGGAAATTTTAAGAAAGAATGTTGATTAAACTTAGTTTCTCTGGGGAAAAGGCAAGTCTTGAGCTCTCATGAAAAAAAA